GCTAACTAAGTAGGTTTATGAACTAAATTGTAGTTAAACAACAACAACATTTTAGTGATATAAAGTATTTCTAAGCCGTTTGCCTCCTCACTAAGAGGATCAGTTCAGAACAACTGCATCTCTTTGACTAATTTCGTTTTCCGTTCAATGTCAGGACAAAGTCTGTAAAATTATACCACGACTTATCACATATATCTATACACAACAACTTATCATTATACATATATAAGTAATATATAAAATCCTCGTATCATCCCCAGAAACAGTTTGACTGATTTTGATGAAATTTTATGTTTATATTCAGTATGTCTGAGAATAAGTTTATAACTATTTTTTTACCCCTAAGTGTTTAGGATGGGTAAACCCAAATTTTTTTTTTAAATTTCTTCGGCAATTTTAAAATACACACAATCCGAAAATTTTCACTCTTCGATTACCAACCCCTGTTTTTTATAGTAATATTAATTAATATGTACTACAACTGGTATATTTGTATACAAAGTGTACTTTAGTCTCATTCGTTCAAGAGAGGAGAGCCAAAGATTAGAAAAATCATTCGAATTATAAGTTCTCTTAATATTGTACCTATCAATCCTACACATAAAAAATAATTAATTGATAATGGTGATATACTTTTGTGTCTGAGATTACGTGCGACGTCAGTTACATGTTAGTATTGTGACATTCTAATGTCACCATTTGAGACAAGCTGAGACAACACTAATGTGTCCAGTTGTCACACAACCGTTTTTTGTACAGTACATACATATATTTATATATATTGAGAAAAATAAACTATATGTGTTGCTTTTTTACAACAATTAAGTATTAATGAGATTCAATTCACTAAGAACATGAAAAAATTAAGATCCTGATGGTTGCTATCAGTATCAAACAATTTTTTTTGTTATTTATATCCGGTGGTTTAGCACGCCAGCTTACTTTCGATGATCGCAGGTTTGATTACTCACAAATGTTGGCATCGAAACATTTGCATGATGGTTTATATTAGTTTGGTTGTTCTCTATGTATGTATTTACTATTGCTTATGTATTTACTAAAAAGTTTTTCTAACAATTGTTTAGTAGATACCTACAATAAATATATAATATAAAACAAACTCTTAGCATAGGACTAGACGACTCTGTGTGAGGTATGTTTGTTATTACTGTGTATATTTTTAGTATTACCACAGATAACATAACAGCTATAATTTTGGATCAGTTGTAATGATAAATTTTGAAGATTTTCACTTTGTACAAAATAATTGTTATGAGCAATTGTGTAACAGCTCTTTTGGGATTATATTTAGTTATAATAAATGATAGAAAATAGGTATGATTTTAGTTGTCATACACTCTGTCACTGAATTTACTATAACAGAACTGAGTGACAGAAGTATATGATAATATATGAACAATAGATAAAAAGAACAATTCTATTTTAAATGTGTATAATGGAATATACAAAACTACCACAAAATCTCATTGTAGTTCTAACATATTTGAATACTACAAATGGTTATATTATATGTTGTTCACATTAGAGTAGACAAACATTGAAATATGGCGTTTATTTGTTTAATACTTTAGTAACAAGTTTCGCTCAGTAAAGTGAAGCACTTTTCTTTAACTACTAAACAAACTGGAAATATAACTTTAATATATTATAACGGTTTTTAAAATACATTCATTTTCCGCTTTGTGTGCTTAGTTACATGAACCGACCTTCGGCTTACTTACGTCTAACCTAAACCTGTAGATATCAAATTCGGAAATTCGATCAATGTCTAAAAGGATTCAGCAATAACTACATCGTTCTAAGGTTCATTATATTACCCCAATACATGTCCATAAATCGAACGTTTGATGAAAAACTCCATCGGTTGGAGTCTTTGATGCTTAGATACATAGAGTAGATTATACGACTATATAGTCTGATACAAGTCAGTGTGCGGTCAGCCAAAATCCAATCGAAATAGAAAGAGTATTTTTGTTTCTAATGCCTTCGCGAGAAAAATAAACGTGATAGACGTAGATATAAATACTGTTCTTATATATACTGTTCTATAAGAAATAAACAATTAAATTTAAAATATCAGTTAAACACATCGGAATAATTCGCCATAGAACTAAAATCACCGACATAGCACTTCGAATTTGCAAGTTGAAGTGGCAGTGGGCTGGTCATATTTGTCGCAAAACCGATGCTCGCTGGAGTGGCGTGTTCTAGAGTAGAGACCGCGAATTGGCAAACATAGTGTAGGACGCCCCTCAACTAAGTGGAGCGAGGACTTATGTAGTCTGCGTTGGGAGAGGCCTATGTCCAATGGACTGCAGTAGGCTGATGATATCGGGTATGAGTCTCTCTGTCATTTAGTTAAAAAAATTAACACGAATAAGACTGTCATAATTTTAATAATATAAGAATTTAATTTCTCTTTCTATGATATTAAAAAGAATACTAGAACGATTTGAAAGTACATTATTGTTGAAAGCACGTGTCTTTCAAAGATAAGAGGATTTACTGAGCTATTACTACACTCGCAACTAGTATTGAATTATATTTCAGTTTTCCTTCACTAGTGATTTTTCCTCTAGTACTAAAGTACCTCCTCAAGTACTAAAGTAGCTTCTGTCAATGCAATAATACTATTATTACTACTGTTAAAAATGTAAGGTAAGTTTAATACACAATGTTGTTAGATGGTGTTAGTATAAAAGTAGAACAGTGTAATCTTAGAGTGCAGCTATACATTTCTATCAGTATATTTAAATCATAAATAAGTTATATATTATTTTCTATTTAGTTTACTTTTTATCATATAACCTTATCCAGCTTATATTGAATGCGTCTATATAATGTAGCTTTTAGGCATACGTAGTGTTGGATTACAATCCAGTTTTGTACCAAACTACACGCTCCTAATCAAATTCTTGTGTTGATTGTAATCTATTTCGTATGTTAATATATAAATAACAGAGAGCGTCTGTACGCTCGGATTAATTCGTTTTATTATCGGTGTTACCATTACCGGACAAGCTGTAAAATTGACACTTTTTTGGTGTCTGAATGATTTGAACCTACAAGCCATTTAGGTAAATAAGTTACGTCGGTCTCAAATAATTAACTACTCTTAAATAACACCACAAATCAAAAAATAGTACTGTAATGAAAATTCTGTTTCTTCGCAAGTTTTTAGATGACTTGACATTTTCTAGACTGTTCCATTTCTAATTGTTGCCTTAATCGAAGGCAGAAAACTAACTGAAGCGTAATAATTACTTACCGCCAAAAATAAATAAATACATATAATTGATTACCTACTTTGTGGTTATGTATATACCTCACAGTTGGCCGCCTTGACCTGCCTACACACGGATACTAAAATCAGGAACAATATTGGAGACTTTCAATTACCTACACTTTGTAAAACACCATCTAGAGAGAAAATAAGCACATTTTATAAAATAAAGTTGCTGTCGTTGTCTGTACCTAAGTAAGCTTAAATCTTTAAAATTAAGCAAACGGATTTTGAAGCGGTTTTTTTTAATAGATAGAGTGATGCAAGAGTAATGTTTATATATATATATATTACATGTACACCCGTGCGAAGCCGGGGCGAGTAGCTAGTAATAAATAAAAAAGACTATTTAGTATAAAGTTTTAAATTGTTTAAATTAATTTTATTTGTACAAACATTATTCTGTCCTATAACTAAAAAGAAAAAGTAGTCGTGAATCCCCGACAAAGTATAAAAACCAAGAACCAATTTTTGAAAATAAAATTGTATTGTTTATTTAGAGGTAAGATTATCAGAGGACATATGAAGGTTAAAACTTAATTCATATATTCAAAACAGACCTGTATTAGGAGGGACAAATGAAGGTTAAAATGCAACCCGGTTGTTGACCATTATCATCAAGAATTCAAAACGTCTCAAAATATATATAAACATTATACAAATCATTCGAAACTGTTACATCAACCAAGTAACACATCTCGGGTTTTTTATGGATGATAATGAAATGGTGCACCCGCCTGCGCTAACGTTTTACGGTGGCGGGGCACTAGTGAAGGATGATAAGTTTATCATATTATATGATCATAATGATAAGATGATTCTATTCTAAGGAAAATCTAATTAATTGGAGAGACCCACGCCCTGCCATACTGCATTCAGACGTGAAGAAATATATTAGCAGTCACTTATTTGTTTAATTCCTATTATTTTATAATAATATCTCAGGACAATTCACACAGCGCCTGCTAGCGCCAAGCTAAGCAGAGCTTGTGTTATGGGTACTAGACAACTGATATAAATACATGGATACATTTTTTTTTTAATAAATACACATTATACATAGTAAACACCCAGACCGATACAAACAATCATACTCATGAATACAAATATTTGTACCGTGCGAGGAATCGAACCCACGACCATCGGATAGTAAAGCGGTGTACTAAACCACTAGACCACCGAGGCTGTCATTTTCGTTAAAGTATTGCATTAAATTCATTTTATTTTATTTATACGTTGAATCCGCAACTAGTAGCGTTGGTCTTTTGTATAATATCTATTTATGTCATCTTATCAAATTAAGGTAACAAGCCTGGAATTTAATATCTGGGAGTAGGTATTATTAGTAAAAAAAAACTTATCTGTGCTAGGTATATCAATTGTTTTGCTAGTATGGGACTTTGTAGTGTGTGAATTATCCAGGATTATTTATCTATACCTACTAATATTATGGAATGAAAGAGGAAGAGATACAATTATTTTATAGTAGTAATATAAATCTCAATAAATTCTAGATCGATTTTAAAATAATTTTCACAGTTTTAGGCTACATTATTATAAAATAATATATACTGGTTATATTAATATAACAATATCCATAAAGTTATGGGCACCCGAGCGAATCAGAGCACGTCACTATTATATTAATATTAATTTTACAATTATATCAAAATATTAAGTTTTTCTTTATTTTCAGGTAATGTAGTAGCCGAGAAGTTGAACAGGCGCCGGGCGGTCCCTGTCATCCATCTACAGGGCTCCCACTATGACGTCGGTTATGATGTGGTCAGTAGAACTTTATGTCTTACATAATACTATATTCCCGAGAATCAGTTTACTTTTTTGAGTAAAAAGACATGTATGTCTTCTTGAGCAATCTATCTTTACTTCAAATTTCATTAAAATCAGGCATTTGATCGTAGAAATGTAGCAAACAGAAAGACACATCTACAATTTTAATAAATTAGAGTTCTAAAGCATATAATAATTGTAACCAAACTTAACACAATTATTGTGTACACATTCATATTATAACGTGACAAGAATAACTTCAGTAAGTAATTATCTACGCTACATAGCATCATCTCTGTGTACGTCTGTGATAACTGTAATTACACTTAACTATAATCACCATTATATGTATATGACTATTTTATTCGAATATAACGTCTAACATGGTCATGTTAATTATAAGAATATGTATACTCTAAATTCGACTCCTCATCACTAAACCAACACGTAGAAAGATATAACAATTTGAAACGTTACAAAGTAAATAACTAGTAAAAGATATTTATAATTTGGAACATTTTTTTAATACATGGTGTATTAAAAGAATTTTCCATTATGAAGGCTTTATTTTAAAATTTAAATGTTAATAATATTAATAAAATTTCCTATTAAAAAATATATAATAAAAAGTGTAATAATACATTTTTTCAACAACCTTGCTCGTAAAGTTAATCTTATTTCACCGGTTACCGATATATAAAGCGGTTCATAATAAAACATGCGTGCGTTATAAAACTTACAAAAGTAAATAGCAAAGCTATATTCCACAACCGCACTATTTGCTTATTTTTTCAAATTTCGAACTGGCCGCTTTTCCACGCTGCGCCAACCAGGCGCTGATTTAAAAAAGTAAAAGGCTTTTGGCAAAGGTAAAAAAAAAGTAAAACGGCGGGAAAGCCGCTTTGTGCATGTGTGTCGAAAAGCGTCGTAAATTATACGTGCGTATTTAACAATTCCGGATCGTGTGTTATAACCATCATAACGCATTTATATCGTAATATACTATTTTAAAATTATCTAACAATTTAATTTCAATGTTAATACTTTTTAATAGTATGGAGTAGAAAAAACACATTCATTACATTATAAAAATAGTTCTTATTTAAATAAGTACATAATAACTAAAATAGACTTAATGATTGTAAAAGACGAGTAAATGAATCGTGTGCTAAAATATGTAGGTACAATAATTTGAAGACTCTAATGTACAAAGTTAAAGAAATTAAAATAATTAATTAACATATTGTGCACAAGTTTATTAACTGAATTTGATATGTTCCTACGGGTTGTTAAATATCTCATGTAGGTACCTATTGTCTTGCACCGTATTGTACGCATTAATTGCAACAATTTTTTTGCTTACATCAGCATATATAATCTTATATTTTCAAGAAAATTGCGCAAACGTTGAAATTTCGAAATGCTAATAATTCTTTTTAATTATGCATAAAATATAAATTAAGTTAATGAAAAAACGTTCAGTACATTACCATGTATTTGACACACGCAATTCTTTTGTTTATTGCATGTGTGACTGCCAGTGCCTGTTCATTATAGAAGTTTAGTCTTTAACAATAGAACCTTAATTTAAATATTCAAATTTCGAATACTAGGTAACCACAAGTAATAATAATTATATGTGTATCATTATAAAAGTCATAATTTAGAGTATTTAAATAATATTTTTTTCTATTTTTCTTCATGCAGGGAAGAGTTTTCGCCTCCGTGATTAAGAACTTCCTAGCCAATTATGAGAATCTGCGCGATTTCGAAAAGGAGTACAAAACTGATGTTGGAAGAGAAGTGTATGACAGGACCCTCGCCAACATGAAGCTCAGATACCCGTATTACCTCAAAGAGATACAGGGTGTCGCTGACGGTGCTAAGGTGCCTTTTCATCAGGTAAATTAACGAAGTAAACATTGTGCAGAATTTTCTATATACCTCAGTCTTACTTAAATCAGCCGCCAAGCAGCTTGCTTTTTAACCTGTGATTCGGTTTTAAAGTGCAGATTAAGAAGTGAAATTACAGGATCTTAGTTCTCTTTAATAACTAAGTGTGAATAGTATGAAGTATGTTATACAAAATAAGTTTAAATTAGAAAAAAAATCCCCAAGGAAAAAAAATCCTAGAATAGACCTACGTATCAAAATTTTTTTTAATAGTCTAATATTTTTTGCTTGATACAGTAATATGAATTGTAATAATCTTTGAATAATATTCGTACCAAATTTTCTTCTAACCATCTAGTACTTTTTACTTAAACCTGTAATATGATTAAGCCCGGACTATTCACAAAGCAGCATCTAATCCCAAACGAAGCAGAATATGTATTATACTCGGTTACTCGACGAATTATAAATACATATAAATTACCCAAAGAATGCAAATAATCATACTACATAATGCGAGGAATCGAACCCACAACCAGTCGGAAATAAGGTGGTGTAAAAACTACTAAACCATCGCGACCGATTGTACTACTTCATATTGCAGCTATTCCTGTTGCAAATGGACGATATCATCGGTACCATAAATGACAACCACGTGCCCAGAAACGACACAGGCGGTTGCAGCTCCATTGGAGTCAACAATCCAGAGAGCGTACGTGTACACTCCATTTTCAATCTTAAGTCGCTATATTTAAGTTACATACTAAGGGACAGAGAGGGTATATGTACAAAGTGTGGCAAAGTATTGCAGGAGTCACAAACTACGTATAGAAAAATAATGAGATCTGGTAAGGTCCTTCCCTGTGAGATGGCGTCTTAGATTATGACATGTCACATTTCTATTTTAATATTAAATCATGAATTATTAACCAAAAAAATGTAATTAGATGTGAGTAAAAATAACGGCACTAGGAAGTAAATACAAAGTACCACTTTTACTAAATTATCTGCATTACAAACAGTCCCTATTTCTTTTTCGCACTATTCTAATACTGTTAGCTATAAATATTTTTACAGCTTCTCTGGACGATAATATAGGTTAGGGCAGCTGAAGAGCGACGGATCTTACTTATATCTTAAGACTAAGTCTAAACCTATTGATCTTAGACTTAACTGACTGACCTGTGGCTGACGCCATCGTAATTTTAATGTTTCTGATCATAAGACGAAAGGATTAAATCGGGCTGAATTTGACCTTATAGTTGATTTTTAATTTAAAGGAATTATACTAAATTAATAATGTTTATACTAATTGTAGAGTAGACTGTTCAAGAGAAAAAACGGTGATCTTAAAATAAGTAATCGAAAGAACTTAAATTATTAAATAAATTAAGTTGTTTTACCAAAAACTTGAAGTCACTGCTATTAGAGAAATGCCCGTACTCAAATAAGGATTTTTGGATATATTTTATTATATTAATAACATATTTTATGACTACTTGAAAATCTATGTTTTATAGCAAAATTCAAACAATGAACCCACATTATTCATGAATAAATTAATAAAATACCAACCACTTAAATATTTAATTTCAATGTTACAGGGCATTCTGGGTCACACTGAAGATGCTTTTAGCGAAACTCTGAACCATTTCTACATCATGTCTGCGCATATCATACCCACGCCTGAAGACAAGGAAAACGGGGTACGTATATATTCATCCATATATATGTGTGGCAATGAATTGATCTGCAGATGAAATTTTATAAATTTTATACTGTTTTCTCTGTCTATCCCGTAAGAAAAATGTTGTACAATGATATTTCAACACAGTTTTATTTTATAATAAAATAAAATCTATGATGATATATCATGATGTATCTCATATATTTTTACGTATTATTATTATTATTACTATTGTCCCAATTAGGGTGATCAAAGACATTGTCGACTGTCGATATTGTGGTGAATATAACGCTTTCTTAAAATAACCACATTTCTCTGGATATATTCCAACAAAGTCTACCACCATTTCTTACATTTTTATTGTGTTTTCCATTACAAGAGAATTAGACTAAAATTCAATTAATAGCGCAGTGTGCTGCTGGATCCAATTGGCATAGATTGAAACTATTCAAATATGCACTCAAAATTTCATTAAAATCAATCCAGTCGTTATTGACTTAACTGATGACAAACACACGTAAAGAAGTAGGTATATAATAATAATTACCTACAGTTCACACAACGCCATCGGAAGCTAAGCAGAGCTCGCTACATAACTATTATAAATACTTATTACTTTTTTTTGTAAACATACAAAACACCCAAATCAATACAAACAATCATATTCATGAATACAAATGTTTGCACCTACAAATCGTACCTGCGATCATCGGATGTAAAACGGTGTGCTAAACCGCTGGATCACTCAGGGCATCATATATATTTAATATTAAACTACTACTATTCTACTCCAGGCGGTGGAAGAGCAGTTCATGTCGCTGTGCTATGCCGGACATATGCCTGGTTATACCATGGGATACAATCACAATGGGCTGGTATTCTCCATCAACACCCTCAGCCCTCTCGTGCTGAAGCCTGGCAATACCCGTATGTATATCATACTAGCTGACCCACAAAACTTCATCTGTATCACACTTGCTTAATATTTTTCATTATATTTCGCCATCTTTCTAAACATCTTTTTAAATTATAGCCTATGTATTATGTATGTCTATCTCTAATGTATATATTACTGTAAAGTTAGGTACATTGCTGTAAAGTTTCATCAAAATCCATTCCGTAGTTTTTGTGTGAAAGAGGAACAAACTTCCATCCATATTCAGAAACTTTCGCGTATATAATATTAGTAAAATTTCATAGGAAACACTTCCTTTCTACTATAACCAAACCCTGTTACCCGGGATTTCGTCTGGTTTTTTAAGACAATAAATTAAACGTATGTGAAAACACATCGTGTACTTTCAATCTTCACGTCGAATTTCATTAATATCTTAATGAAATTCGACGTGTAGGTACTCATTGTTTATTCATGATTTTTTATGTAAAGGTAAATGATGAAGATTGCCTATGTACATGAACAGCACAACAGACATCACGTTAACATGTGATACTCGTGCTTGCGTGCGTGCTCGACAGGGCTCATGCTTTGCCATCCCAGTGGACTTAGACGTAATGCCTATTAACATATACTTTCACTGTCTAATGTCACACTACTTTAAAAATATGCTGCTTGGCTCTTGAAATAGATGCTGAATTATAGATTTTATATTAAATACAAACATTTGACATGACCTCAAAAATTTTTATCCAACTGTACAAAATTTTAATCCATGTTTATGGCATAGGGCAAAACTATTTTAGCTAATTATTTTTGGCATATTATCGATTTTTCTTCCATCGAATCCTCGGAATCTATTAGAACTATAGACGCAAAATTATTTATGTCAATTTTTACGGTCTGTGTTCGGCTCGACTAATCCACAGGGATTTTGAATTGTAACGGTAATATCCAGGACAATTCACGATTTAGCGCCATCTAGTACTAAAGCTAAGCAAAGTTTATGTTAAGGGTACTAAACAACTTATTGCAATATATAATTTTTTTTTGTTAATAATTAACATAGATAAGGCTCAGAACTAAACAAACAATCGTAATCATGGATATAAATATTTACATTGTGCGAGTACATGAACCTTGGACTATCAGAAATAAAGCGTTCTAAACCGCTACACCACTGAGTCCATCAAATTACTAATTACTATAGCGTATAACAATCGCCCTAAACGTACCAATAGGCTGCCATCCCGATATCACGAGTTTCCGGTGGCAGTACCGTACTTCCGTTAGTTATTATTAGACATAACTTGAGTCCTGCCATATTGGCGCCCAACATTTTCATGTCATTACTGATTACCGACAGCGAGAACATTCATCACTCGTGCTCTGTTGGCGGCGAAATCGTTCAGTGATGCTGAGAATATTCTACGAGACGAAGGTCTGGGTATAGGGAACGGGTTCTCAGTTAATATGCTGTGGACGGATGCTTGGGGCCGCCAGCTTTATAACGTGGAGGTGGCGCCTGATCTAAAGGGAAACAAATCGCTACTCAATATACACAAGTACGACGAGGAGCCATTGGTGCATTGCAATATGTAAGTGTATTATTTTACTTTTATATAATTAATTGCCTAATGATATCCCAATTGGCAGTTTTTCACAGATAAATAAAGATGTTGGAAACTGATTTATATCAAATCAAAAATCATTATTCGTCTAAAGTATTTTTTTTTTGTATTAATATTATTTCCCTTCCTACTGTATGATTATCTTTACGATTACATATATTAGTGTTGTTCTTATATATAACTCAATCACAATTTATCTGTTTGTGTAATAAATTTATTACTTAATAATAGTTTTTAGTTGAAGAATATTCTGTATTTATTATATAAGTTCGTTAAACAAATTGAGGTACTATTGTAAGAATTCACACAGTTGACTTGTCAACAGTGTGAATTCTTATTCTCTACACGGCGTTATCTCAAGACAAGCAGATCTTGTGTTGTGGACCAGTCTTTGATATGTTTCAAAAACTCTTGCGTCGATATTTTATTATATAGCTTAATAATCAGTCCAATTATAATAATATATATTAAAGTAACCTTTACAGCAGTTTTCACATTAAATGCGATTTCATCTCAAATTTCCGACTGGAAAAAAGAATTGTAAAAAGTCGGCGTGATTGCAAACCCTAGTTCTGATGATATATCATTACTTAGTATAAAACAAAGTCGCTGTCGCAGTCTGTCCCAATATATGCTTCAATCTTTAAATCTACGCAACAAATTTTGTAATGGTTTTTTTTTAATTCAAGAGAATGGTTTATAAGTATACATATAGTAATTTATATAAACATCTATTAACAGTTACCAGCGTCTGCACGTAACAGAGGTGATCGGACCTATCATAGACAGCAGTGAGTCTCGTCTAGAAGCAATCCACAAGTACAAACCACCCCAGAGTCGAGGAGAAGTTGTAGACATTCTATCAGACACCGCGGGCAAAAAATTCCAGGTGTTCCAGGAGAAACCAGACTCCATCATCCAGACCATTGCAGCTGGTACGTAGTTTCATTGACAGTACATAATATTATAAACGCAAATATATGTAAAGATGGATATTTGACGGCCTCGGTGGCCTAGCGGTTTAGCACACCGCTTTACTTCAGATAGTCACGGGTTCGATTGCTCATACGGTGCAAACATTTGTATTCATGAATATGATTGTTTGTAGCGTGGGTGTTTTCTACGTATATTATGTATGTATTTCCAAAAAAAAAGTTTATCAGTTGTCTAGTACCCATAACACAAGCTCTGCCTACCGTGGGACTAGATGGCGCTGTGTTAATTGTCCAGGGTTATTTATTATTTTATTTATTACTCTAATAATTAGGAACTCATATTTCAAATTATAGCATGGAATTTATAAACTTTTATAAGGATACGTGCAATAAACGCCTAGTAAGATTAATAAAGATCAATCAGACACTTTTATCTCAAATGCAACGATTTTGAACAAGGTCACTTTGTGGTTTATTAAGTTTGGCTTATGAACGAAAAAGATATTTTTATTAATATCATAATAGGCACTCAAGTGAATTAAAACTTATTCTTTAGTCATATTTATTAATATTTTTCACGAATTACTTATTTCCTAATTGTCCTCAATTCTTTAATAAAATATAATATGTTTGTTTACACGCTGCCGTATTTACTAAGTAATTTTATTCTCAAGGCTGTACTAAATATTAACTCAATAAACATTATTCATTCATTGCAGGTATTTTCGACCTAGACCAAAGAACATGGAGCATTTATATCGACAAACCCAACAAGTCGGAACCGGTGGCGATCCTTCCAATTACATTTAATATTTAGTTGTAATTATTCCTACATCTAGTAAGTATTATATTTTCTTATTATTGTAGTTTTAGCAAATATTTTTAATTAACATTTGTTTACATCTGATATGTGTAGTTACTGCGTGCATTAGACCGACATCTTACAATTAAATTTATAATTTCAAACAAACTTTTTCGGCAGGTAGATTGTAAAAAGTAATTTACGTGGGTACTCCAATATTTTAGGCGTCAAACAGCTTGCTTTGTGTGTTGTTTTAGTTGTAGATTAGACAGTGAAATTACAGGATACGAGGTATGAGATCTTAGTCCTCTGAAATGGTTCATGAATGGAATCGCGGGTATAACATAACTTATGCATAGTGATGTTCATGTATTGGGTTAGCGCTTACCATCAGTTATATGTGGCACCGGTGGGTACGAATTAATGTTTTCTTTTTATATTTGATGTTACAGTTTTAGGTAATTTTGTGTAGCGTATATCTAGAAGGGTTAAGTTTAGAATAAATTTGGTTATGAGCTCATCATTAACATCTGCATGTGAGTTGACTTTTAGGTATAGTATGTGAAATGATCCAAGTAATTGTCATAATAAATCTTAGTTTAAGATATTAGTTATAATAAGTTTAGGTTAAGAAGTACAGGTCGGGAAGGTACAATAGTACCTGCTTATTGTTTGTCATAAAAAATGAGTAGGTACATCTAAATACTTTTATGATAAAGTTAGGTATAGGTAAGTTGTAATTAGTTAGATAGGTATATTAAAAGTTTAGACTACATTAGTCTAAATCTGGTAGGTATAGTTTTAGAGTAAGCAGTTATGAGCTCCCGATTAACAAATCTTGTGAGATCTTAACTTTTAGATATAGTCCGTGATATGATCCAAGTAATCGACATAATATTTCTAAGTTTAAGGAATTAGTTATAATCTTTTATTCACATCGTCATCTGCATGTGGGGTCTTATCAGTTTCGAGTAGTATTATTTAGTTTAGGAAAAAGTAGGTCGGGACGGTACAATAGTATCTGCTTATTGTTTTTTATAAGAATGAGTAGGTACATCTAAAAACTAAATACTTTTATGATAAAGTTAGATATAACTTAGGTTTAAGTAATTTTAGTTACTTTGATAAATAATCATGTGTTGCATTGTATATTTTAATACATCTAAACTTCAGTTTTCAGACACGGTAATATCATATTTCTTAATTAATTAAAAATTGGTATTACATAGAACTTGCATATATTACATATACATATTATTTTAGTGTAACCTACAAAAATCGATAATTTAAATTAGTTTCCAATAGATACAACACTATTTAAGAATTGTAATAAACTTGCTACTTGCTAATATGCAATGTCAATTGTGTTTCTGAGATAAAATTAAAAAACAAACTTTAGGAAACTCCACAATAATATTTGTATTAATTATCGTTGATCGTATTTGGAAACAAAATTAAAACAGCTCTTGATTGATTCCTATTAGAATATATTGTCAGATTTTTTTTATTAAAGTATTTTACTTATTAAATTTTAATTTGTTCGGTTAGTCACAATAATTTCAAAAGAACAGTATAAAAATAAAAATGGTTTGGATTGAAATCGATGTCGCGTTGAAATTTCAGCGAGATTCCGATGAAATAGTTTTTGTATTTGCATTACTAGTTTATATTTTATTAATTATGTTGCCGTACCAATTAATAACAATTTAATTACAGTTTAACTTCGTTTCAGTAATAATCAATATGTACACTGAACACCAGTCGTACAATATTATAACAGATTGTATTTCTTTTTTGTTTTATAATATACTTGTAAGTATTATTTAGTTTTGAATGGTTTTCTTTGTCTTTTCAATTATTCATTAAAAGTTTATTACAAACATTTTAAATTTGCCCCTAATTTATATATGTACGTATGTAGTAATAATAACCTATTTCGCCATATAGTTACGTACGTACATACGGTGTGTGTGTTTACATGTTTATTTAAAACAACAAAAATTAAACATATCAACAACTTTTTGATTTGACTTAATTACAATTGAGTGGGTCGAATACGTATAAAGTTTTCTGCTATATATTAGCAATTACATATTGTTAAAGATCTTCACATAATATACAAAGTCACTGTGTTTTTTGTCTTTTGCATTGAAATTTGAATACTTACCTAATAGTTTATACTTGTATAGTTTATTGGAATATAAAACGTGCGTTATTGATTAGATTAGGTAAATATTAAATAATATGATAAAAATTAAAGAATTGTGTTTTTGTATTAAACCTATCTATACTGTAGCAATTAATAATGTTTATATTCAATTCATACTGCCTTAATTTTTCAAGTGATTTTATTAGTAATTCTTTTATATTTCATTATCCTAATTCATTATTCATAATTTTAGTAGAATATCATTTCTTGCTTGCTATAATATTTTAAATTGTATTCTCTAGGCGTCTACATTTCTATTTTTCCTATTTACCATATCATAAGTTTAATTATACGTTATTTTTTCTTTGATTTCTTGAATTGAATTAAAAATTGTGATCAATTACGATCCTGGTTCTATTTTACATGATTTTATTTGGTTATAGTTATATTTTTTTAGCTATTATAAATTTGGTATCTAACAACAGGTGTACATTTATTTTTTTGTAATTAAAAATAGAGATTAAAAAGGGTGTTATCAATTAACATATATATATTGGTTTTCTCGTCCTCTATATATTAATCTATAATTCTCATTTCAGTAATCTCAGCTACCTTCTAATCTAAACTCACATGGTTATAAAATGTCATTATTAATCTCCTCTTTTTGTACATGTTCCCTTCCAAATTTCCTGTACTTCGTCTTCGGGCATCGGGCAAAGTACATACAGTATTTTATTCTAAAATTATTTAGAGCAAAAAAAAATATTTTTACAATAACACGATAATTGTAAACTGGAGACATATTGCTCTGGCGTATATAAAGATAGGAATGCATAAAGGCAATTATGTCAGACACAGGGATAATGATTACATACTATTTTAAAGTCGATTTGATCTACGGTTTACTTTCTTATCAGGAAGAGTCAATATGTACACTAAACACCAAATTGTATAACATAAAATATTGTATTTTATCTGTTTCAAATTAGAAATAGGTAGTTTATGATAATGTTTCGTTTAAGAATTATTTCTGCTTCATGTTTTTTTATATTGTGTTCAAGTATTCTTTTTAGAGTTTATATTTATTTTTATGATCTTATTATTGCATCATTTTAAAAGTTTTTGTTCATCCAACAAAGACTGTTAAGATACAATTATTGGGCTTTGTTTACGCAGTGTTCATTTCTAATTAATAGTTAAGAAAAGTAACAGTATCAGTTAGATCCCGTTAGGATCTAACTGATACTGTTACTTCCCGATATTTTGGGACTGTTGCAATCACCATGGTCATTTCTATACTGGATGTTTACCCGTCGATTCTTGTTTTGGAAAATACTTGTACTTAGTAAAATACCTACGTAGTAATATACTAGATTTACGAGGGCACGTTTTTAAATTCTCGGACCGGTAGGACCGTGTAATAGTAACTATCGTCAACTAAAGCAGGAATAATTTGCGATATAATACTTTACTTTATAACCGCGGTGTTATAAAGTTCAAGCAAGGGAAATCAGAATTATACTGGAAGAGTTAACATCATCATTACACATATCACACAAACTCTTGGCTCTATAAAACAATGGTTTAGAGCGGTGTGGTGTGGTTAAGCGAAGCAGGGACTCATTTGTATCACGGCTATGATGGCCAGACGAAATAAAATATTATTTTCCAATACGACCGTTTCAGAAACAGATTGCTGAAATGGTTGAAAGTATAATATACAATGATTTTTAATATCTTTCATAATCACCTTGGTATGACGAAAGTGCCTCAAAGATGGGTGCCTCAACAAGCTCACGCCGCCTTAAAAACAGCGTATGAATGTTCTGGTGAGGTTTTGGAAGTCTGTCCTGAAGTCAAGGATTGTAAATTGTTAATGTGGACGAAATATAAGTTCATCGCCTAAAAGTGGTGCCAATGGTAAGGCACCAGTCGGCCGCGAAAATTAAGGCGACATACTTCTGTCAGAAAGCATCCTGGTGATTGCAGTACAAAAATATTGTTATAACCGAAAAATATTATGGTTTAATCTTAATATGATGAAAAGAAGCCATCTGGAGTTCGCCATGACAACGTGCCTACACAATAGTTGTATGTTCTGTATGGGATGAATATATCCTGCAGAATCAGCCCCGACCTGCCTCTTTTTCTGGCAGAGATTTTTTTTCTGTCGGCTTATTATTCAGACAAAGATTATTTTAATTTCGACGATTAAGATACAACTTATTTGAACCATCAGAAAAATGTATTAGGGTAGCCGACGAATATATTTAAAAGGAAAAATATATTAGTATGTACAGTACAATCCATAAACCCATTCCGCGAAATTTAAAACGTCCCCTCGTAGCAGTAAGGCTGTAAGATGTTAGAATTGTTTTTTTTTTTATATTATCTGGAAATGTAATAAGCAACAATTCCATTATGTATTTAGATTATAACACTTATAAATTCTAATAGATAAATAAGGATATTCATTGCCTATATCTATCACAACCACGATTGAGAAATGATGTCGCTGTCTTATATTATCTCATGCACGCAGTAACTTATTATTATAATTTCAACGGATTGCTTAATTTTTAAGTTTTTTTTTGGTACTTTACAAGGGAATTTAAATTTTGTATTCTTTTTTTATCCTTTGTAATATCCTATTTAGTTATTATTCATTCTAATTGCTGTTAAATAAATATGTATAAATTATATAATGTTTTTATTTATTGCCCATAATTTAATTTAACAATATCAAGTTAAAAGTATATATATCAAGAGACTTTGTTTGTGGTTCAGATATGCCTCAGCATTGCAGTTATGCAGTTTGCTCTGTAAGCTGTTTCGGTTGAAGTTGAGATTAGGCAATTAAATTACAGGATAAAAAGCAAAATTTATATATATATATCTAAAACGTGTATGTAAGTATTTCTATCAGTTGTCTAATACCCATGACACAAGGTCTGCTTAGCTTGGCACTTCTACATAGAGGGTGCGTAGTGAATTATACAGGGTGTTATTATTATTAGTTCTCGTGTCACAGCCAAGCTGGTAGTCAGTATCGAGAACGGATTATGCCAAGTCTCTCGTTACTTTACTATTATTAGCCCGGAATAGCAACGCATGAATGGTATCATGATTTTCACATGATATCATGACATCCGTAGTATTATTCATTTACAGGTTATAGTTACCACTTAAAACCAGCATGTTTGCCTTATTTGCCATATTGATTACAAAAACTCCTCACTTTAGGATAAACATATATGTTTTAGGTTTATATGCGCATTATAAGTTATATTATATATATTTCATCTACTTTATTATTTATTTATATTTAAATTTCTTTATGTTCTCAATTAGAGTATATTTTATGTGAATGATTCATTTATTAGTCGATGTCCAAATAATTGCAACTGTTTAACTTTTTAATAAAATAAACAAATGACAATGTACAGAGTCTACGCCACGAAACTGTAATTTGTTTAATAACTTAAAAATCTTTAATTAATCTTTGAGTTAACAGTAGGCGGCATCATACCCAATGAGTTGCAGAATATTTCTTTTATAGTCTATTTGTAGGTTTTTTTTATTCAGATTTTTTAATTATAAGAACGTACATATTTATGAGTATAAAATAGCGATAGTACACTGGTGGTAAAAAAAAATGTAAAGGTGTTACTCTGTTCTATTTAGTAAATAAAGATTCGAATTGAATTTGGCAGTAGTATTGTCTTTGGTAAACAAGTGATGTATATTCACATGTGTTATTCTTAAAATACATATTCGGCCTAATTGACGCTTTACTATTTTAATATGTAATAAATGTGTAAATTGGGAGTTGGTACAAAAACAATCCTAATAATGTTCTCATATTTACACTTACTAATATTGGACAATTCCTAAAAAATATATTATAATTAGTATATGGAGAGTAGTGTACAGTTTCAGTTTCAGAAAGATGTATTGACTAGGTAATAAGGATAAAATGTTAAGGAACATACACCGTAATGTACGTATTACTCTCGTCCATATAGACTATCTTTTATATAAAAAAAACAGATGTAAGTAAAAGTCGCTGCTAAAAGCTAGTATAAGTATATCGCTTCAGATCAATAGGTTAAGCTAAACTAAACACACTTCCCGTATTATTTTCTCCTCTCCTATAACAGAAAAATAAAAAAAAGACATGTTTAATGATTAGTATATTTGCTTATAATTATATTAAATGTATTATATTATTATCAGGCATAATGTTTCTAAACTAACAGTTAAGAAATATAATTATTAAAGTCAGAGAAGCAGAGAAACGCGCTAGTAAAATGGACTCTCACTTGATGAAGAACTAATCATAGTTTAGCCTAAATCAAAAATTATACATTATTAATTAAAATTAAATTTTACTATACATGTATACAAATATGTTGAAAACATATACACGCCAGCACATGTACTCTATTCCAATATCCATATCAATTTAAATCCAACACAGTTCATACCAATCTTTTAACAGGCAATCCATACTATATAATATTATACATATGAAAGTAAGTCCATCTCGCGGTCTAGTGCCATCAGACACTGTTATTTGTAAATAAACCATTGAAATATATATTTTTTCGTAATTAATTCGATGGCGCCAAAAAATTTTGAACTATTAGGTTTCTATGTACATTTCAAGAGAACAGATGCTATATGCCATTTTTAATAACAATCCATCCACAGTTTTCTAGAAAGACCGGATGTGTTATACATTGCTAGTACATGCTTTTTTTACTTCAAAATAATAGAGATTCTCAATTGGTTTGTATTATTCTTTGAAAATTGATAAATTATAACTGTTTGAAAACATAATATATCAATTGATAATAGTAAAATAATTAAATTATACAATATTCTTATAAAATCATTTGTCCTATCAACGCACAGCCAAAACTAAGCTTAGAATGCTGCAATTTGCATTTAGCATCCATTAGTAAGGGATTTTACAAAATGTCAACTAAAATACACGTGTGCAGAAACGCAAGCAATAGTTTAATGATAATTTAATTTTGCGGAGGTCCTATACTGAAATATGTTGAATTTGTAATATATTTTGATATATACCTGACCTTAAATATATATTTCGTCTTATATATAATAATCTAAATAATAGTGAATTTCAGATGGGATAATCAATATTAAACGTAGAAGAAACTATGCACTCAACGTTTTTTACTACTAAAACATTAATAATATTAAAGTTAGTAAAATAAATAATCAAGTATTGGAATATAATGAATAATAAATAACTGGATATATTAATAAAAATTAGAAACTAACGCAATTCGTAACTAACACACTATTGACTCACTATTATGGAAAATTCTGAAGTAACTCCACCAAAGAAGGTACATATCAACTCACTAGATGTCGCTAGAAGCAAATGTATAACGCGCTACGGTTTACCGGTCATCCCAACCGTATATTAAAATTACTCGCCAGCTATTTAATTCGGTGAAGCTGTAAAAATATATTTTTGCAAAGCTGTCGACCTTAGCAGGTCTTTACAGCTTCAATAAACGTGATATTTAAAAAAAGATAATATAAGAGTATAGAGTTTCATATATGTCCGTACATATATAAACTTATCTTTGCAGAGAAACTGATTTTTTTTATTTTTCATATTTTGTAGAAATGACTGATGTTCACTGGTGTAAAATTGTCATTAAATACTGAAACACATATTACTTACTTCTAATTGTAAGCTTCTATGCAACATTACATGCATCAACTTTGAAAACATTGTTTATTGGGAGGTGGAATTTCTAAAATTCCCTTTTAGTGTATGGAGATGTTTTTATAATAAATTGCAAAAAAAAAACTACCAAAATATTTTGTTTTTAACCCGTGGTTTAGGCTTTGCGTTGATAAAACAATCAGGGCAACCAAATATATTACAAACATAACAAAATATGAGGCCACCTTATATTTCAAGTAATCTGGGTAGAATCTTGTTGTAAGACAACATCAGTACAGGCTTTACAGTCTAATCTCGACATCAATATCAATTGAAGCGGTAGATTTGACTTCACATAAATTATTTGTCCGTAATAAAGGTTATATGAATAAAGATTTATATTTGATTTAAATAACAAATCATTCAAAGCATATTTAACCAAATCGGTACATTAGACTTGCCATTATTTGGCTTTGTTGCAAAATTTGACTGGCTGGTCACGGATTTGAGTGATGTAAGAATATTATGTGTAATAACTGAAAAATGATGATGCCCACATTATCGTGTTTACATAAAAAAAAAAACAACATTCACTGAGGGCTGATGACCTTCAGTTTACCCAACTACTTAACACATGGAGGGCCCTTTTTGATTAGCATGTATGTAATATATAGATTTATTTATAATCTACTATAATATATACTCTGAAGCAATATTAGCTGGTCAAAAGCAAAAACAAATATCAAATAATAGTTTATTTTTATTAACAATAAATGCAATATAAGTAAATCCTATTTAATTTTCTTTTTATACTAAGAATAAAATTTAGTTTTTGGAAGAATTAAAAATATATATAGGACAAATTATAGGGTTGAGTGAGTTTATGATGATTTTGGAATGTTACTTAGCCGCCACATCCGCAGCCGCCCATGGGTGGGGCAGAGGGCCCCGATCCCGATGGGCCGAAGCCGCCAAATTTTCGACTCGGAGGTTTCGGTGGACTGAAAATATATAAAAAAACACCATTAGACTTCAAAAACTCCCCAACAACCTTGCGCAGTCTACCTTCTATTAAACGTCGTTAGTGTCGTCTTTTTATTGATGGGTATTCTCGTATTTTTTTCCAGATATCATTATTTAGAGTACTAGGTTCGTAAGGGACAAGATCTGAAAGATATTCATAGGAGCAACGGTTTTTATCTCCTGACGATAAAGACGGTGCTTTTCAAAGGAGATATTAGTTTATGCTTGAGTGGGCTACAGCCACATAGGCTGTGTGGTGATGTTTCCTCTTCACCTTGGCAACAAAATCTGTAAATCTTTATTAAGGACTAAGTTTGTGTGGTTACCGTTTAACTTATTTAGTTAATATGCAACATGCCTTGTAAGTTATTTCGGTCGAAGAATCAGATAGGGTACAGAGGCATGATACCTTAGAACTTGGGAATGGTAATGCATGATTGATATCTCTAATGGTATGTGATGACGACGTGAGTATATCAGTCAGTGAGTATGTCAGGCAATATACGTCAATGGAATAATGATTAGCCTGGCGCACCTCTGATAACTTCAGGCATCCACTATTGCAGAATTGTATATATATATATACTCGTCCGTTTTTATGTCCCTTCCGCATTCCCAAATCGTACCATAGTCTGTCTCATTTTTACATCGACACTCATTCTAACCGACTCGCTCACGAAAATGTTTAAATCCTAACAATTTAATATAACACCAACGATTCAAGGAAACAGCAATATCCTGTGTTGATAAGTACAGATATAATTCAGTACAGGACTAAATATAAATATAATTAACATTATCACCAGCCCGTTAAAAATAAAGACGTAAAATTAGAACAATATTTATTTTTAAATATATTTTTTTAATTGTTTTGTATAAGTAAGACACACCAATTTTTATATTTGTGAAAGAATTTACTAAATTTAACACAAAATTTATTGGACCTTCATAGGGACTCGACTATGTATAACTTTAAATCCGGTTGTTAAGATCAATACGCAATCTACACTTAGACAGTACACTTATGAGGTGGGCTATTGTAATGCATTTTGTCATACAGGCGGCCATGTCGGTGTCCGGCCCATTCGGATTTGTGTTGAGGATCAAGACTTTACCTGTGTCTGATGGTCCTAGTCAAGTAACTTGCTGCATATTGGAAGCATTAACATCTAATATATGGAGAGGGGATTTGTAGTAATGGAGATTAATGGTTACATAGCTAGCAATGTACCAATGTCATGTCCACCTTCACGGAATTTTCTCTGCAAACCATCATGGTTGATTCCCGAAGTATTTTTTTTATGGATGATAATGGAATGGAGCGTCCGCCTGCGCTGGCGGAGCACCAGTGGAGGGTGATAAGATGAGCATGAGGTCAGGTCAGTTAGCCCATCGTGACAAATTCATCAGAAATTTATCACGATGGTTTCCAGGGGGAGCCGCGTGGAGGTCAACCTGACATGGTACATTGCTAGTATTGTGTCATGAGTCCACATTACTAACAATCCCCTTTCCTCCTCCCGAAGTATTTGTCACAATGAGTTAACTGACGTGACTTTATGCTCATCCTATAATATTTGCACTTGTGCTCAGTGTATGCTTTCCCATATCATCCTATACTAAGAGTATTTCCATATCACGTATAAACAGCCGATATGAGAATATCGTTAGTGCATATAGCCATTCCATGATCATTTGACGCTTTAGTAGTCAGCTTTATCTCCGATGGTCGCGAGTTCGATTACTCACACGGTACAAACTTTTGTGTTCATAATTGTTTGTATTGGTGTGGCTGTTTTCTATGTATCTTATGTTAAATATTACACTTACCCACTGCCCGGTGGTCGGAAGTCTCTCACATACTTGTCACCGTGCTTACTGTAGTTTGGGTTGATGAGAGTTTGGAATCTGAAGTGAGAAATAGTTTAATAATAATAAAGCAAATTAGTAATTTATATAGTGTTAATTAAATAAATAAAATTAGAGAGACAGATTTTATCAATTACTACCTACCTGGCAAATGTTATATTGTTGTAAATTATTAATGTATAGGCCATTCCAATCCATTACTAGGTTTATAAAAAAATCCTACAACATTTCATCCTACCTACCAGGATTACCAAATATACACTTTCATAAAAATTGGATAAGTAATTTCATGAAAAACCTGTGTGAGATTCTTGTATATTAAATTAATTTGAAATAATGATTCAACTAACTCAATAAAACATTTAATTTAAATAATTACTACAGATGGTTGTGGGTGAAATTCCTCCCACAATACAAACATTTGTATTCATATGTGTGATTGTTTATATTGGTATGGGTGATTCTTATTTATGTAATACATATATTTAACAATGTATAAGCTGTCTTGTATAAGATCTAGTGTGAGACCACAGGAACTCACACAGGAAAGAGCCTCAAGTTTTTATTAATATTAAGTTAAATTGAAAGAAACACTTACAGAAGATAAAAGAAGTTTATCATGCCCCAGAACCATCCAAAGATGTTAAAGGAGTTCTGCTGCACTACAGTGCCATCTGAAAAGTATACCATAAACAGAAATTAACAAATGAATTTACTACTTTACTTTGTTTAAAGTTAGTTCTCAACAAATTTGTCAAACATGTAGCATGGGAAAATAATGGGAGGTAGTCTAAGTGATAGCACTATACCCTGTCATGGTAGATTTCTTCTGATGTTACTATGATGGATTATCTGACCTAATCTGCAGCATTCTATCATCTTCCAGTGCTTGACCAAAATTTGTAGACTGTGTCAAAATGAAGAGAAAATGCCACTATGCATTAGTTATTTTAAAGTTCATTCGAGCACGAACAACTTATTTTAATTTCATAGTATCAATATAGACAATAAAAACAATTGTGTGAGCCTGTAACATGATGTTATTTAGATTTATACACAAAAGTTTCTGAATAAACTTCTGGGCTGACATTAAAACCATTGAAACACGGACTTTTCAATTATTCCATTCACCATGGTAATAAAATTGATGTTGCTACTGACTACCTCATCAAGGAGTGGTTATATAACAGTCTGTATGCAGTTAACAATATATATCCTTCAATTCCTGCTCCTTATTGGAGCTGCTTTTGTACTTCAAGATTTTGAGCACAGAATTTAGCTGTGCTACAGGCCTATGTTCGCCTGATTAAAGCTGTAAAAATTTATTAAATAAATATAGCAATTAATCTGTTAACTAGTATTTTTTAAGGTAAATATAGTATGAATGAGATACATCAAGGCATTAAGTAGATTCTAACAATACTGTGCTTGTAAATAAATAACTTGAACTTACTAAACTAAACTCATTGGTTTCCTTTGAAAATAATCCCTAACTATTTATTACTGGTGACATCATCTGCTGTTTTATTTTGAGATAAAAAGTGGTTCAATTCCTTATAATACAATCTATTTTTAGAATTACTTCATTAAAATCTATTCAGCTGTTCAGTTGTGAAAAGGTAAGAGGTAGACAAACACTTTCACATTTATAATAACAGAACCTATGCACAGCCCAAACCAATTAATCCAGTAATTCTACTTAACAAACTATAGTACACTACCAAGGACTAGTGGATATGTAAAGTATCTTTGCACAAGTGGTATTATTGTAGAAATGCAATTTTTTGTAACTAAATATAGTCATTACATGTTATTACTGCTTTTTTAACTGTGTTAATAATTTTATATTTATTCACTACAAACAAAAAATATAATCCTACCCGTTTTATTTGCCTTCTTTTAATTTGTATGAGCTATACAAAAGTAAATAATGTTGATCACTGTAATTTAAATGACTCAATAATTTTTGCTGGGGGGAAAGGGGATTGTTAGTAATGTGGAATGATGATCTCATTGCTAGCAATATACCATGTCAGGTTGACCTCCACGCGGTTCCCCATGGAAACCATCTGACCACATATTCATCTTATCATCTTCCACTGGTGCCCCACCAGCGTAAACCGTTAGCGCAGGCGGGTGCGCCATTCCATAATCACCCACAAAAAAAAATTTTGCTATTTTTATTAGACAGAATAGATACTACCATTGTTCATATGTAACATACTGGGTCAAGGACATCAATATTGGGATAACACGGGCCCATAAAGGATGATGATTTCGTAAGCCATCTAAACAAGATGTATCTAAAAAAGGCTCTCAGATAATATAGTTGTGAAACATAATAAACTGACGTGGCCTAAACTACAACCAGATGTAAGATATAGAATACAAGAAAAAAACACATACCTCCTTTAACATACACCATTTTACAATTTTGCAAGATAAACAAGTAGTATAATGTTCAAAGATTATATATAATTTCGTTTCAATCTCCTGAATTAATAATAACTGTACAATAGAATTAACAGTGCTCAATTGCTCAAGCGACAATAATAAAATATAAACGAATATTATATATAATGCAACTGTCAATCATTACTGATATAAAAGATTGACGGTCGGGCATATGATAGAATGACTGCGATTGAATACAAATATACTTTTCTCTGTGGTGGCTGCCGTCTATAGATTAACTTGCAACACAATTTTCATTTTGTTAAAAGTCTGTTTTCATAGTTCAGACGAATGATATTAATTATTCACTCATACACTGATTGATTATTTTCAGATCATTCATTCCATCAATTTTGTATTTTCTGTTTTTTGGTATATTACGAAATCGAAATTAAAATGATTTTATTTAGTTTCTAATCGATATTTATTGTTTGATATATATGAATCAGGATATAATAATATTTATATAATTGAATTTTAATATTACCCGTAGTATTGAAAATGTAGAAATTGCAGCGAATTTTAAGCTGCGTTGCGAATTTAGTGTTATCGACGTTTAAATGTCAATAGGTGAAACTTGAAATATGATACTGTTTTATCTACTTAGTAACAAAAATGCAGAGTAATGGCGAAGTGAAATACAATGGGGTTACAAAATATAAAGCTAGTGACTTTCGATGCGACGAATACACTGTTAAAATTTCGTATACCGCCGTGGAAGTACTACGCTGCAGTAGCTCGCAATTATGGATTTAAAGGCACGGACGAAGATGTTAAATCCAGGTTAGTAACTAACTACGACGCCGTATGGGCTCAATATCCCAACTTTGGGAAGAGCACTATCTGTTGGAACGAATGGTGGCGGCAAGTAGTGAAGAGAACCTTCGATGGCCACCTCCCTGTGGCTTCAGATGTGAACAACATTGCAAGTCAACTGATAGAGGACTATAAAACCACGAAATGCTGGTATCCTGCTGAAGGAGGTGAGGAGTTACTTAACAGCCTTCAGAAAAGGGGAATTCCAATCGGTGTTTTATCCAACTTTGATCCACAACTCTATGATGTACTGCGTAATGTTGGTATAATTAATAGATTTAATTTTGTTATAACTTCTTACGAATTTGGCTACAGTAAGCCAGATGAGAGGATATTCCGACATGCTCTGGAGAGATGTCATCAATCTGTACGGCCATCAGAAGCCCTTCATATTGGAGATGATGTGAAGAATGACTATGAAGGAGCCCGGTCTGCCGGGTGGCATGCGGTGCTTATAACCGCAGATAATGAAACTGAGAAACCACCAGCATCAAATCATGTGTTCGATAGCTTAACTAATTTATATTTAGCTGTAGAAGAGGAATCTCTTGAATTGTAATAGTATATAAGACATTGTCTAGAATATTTTGTACTACTTAAATCTATCTCATAAATATTAATTAATTAGTTTCTTTATTTTTATAGTCTGACTAAACATGTATATAGTTGAAATTAAATTTATTTACTCATGTTATGATACTCTTATATAGAATTTAAAAAACATTATTTTTATAAGAATATTATAAATATAAAGGTTATGAAATATTTTAATATATACATATACATGATTAAGTATGTAAACAATAAAAACATTCTCAAATACTGTAATTTATTTATACAATAGGTTTAATAAAATAATATGGAGTTGCTATTGTTTCAGATACTTGTTATTTACTGCAACATTCAATGTATATAGTTATAATTTAAATGTTTTATATGATTCTCCTACATACTGTTCAAATTGTTACCCTTCAAGCCTTTGTTTCCTGTATACCTAAATTATAAAAATGTTACCATTTTTTTGTGTATTTTGAGAAAGTCATATTAAAGGTTGAAATATAGAATTTAATTATGCCAAAATAAAGATAGTGATTGAAGTAAAAAACAGAATTTACCACATTTTAATAAAAACTAAATACTATAATAACTAAATACTTACTCAAAACAGTGTGTTTGTCAAGTTTTCACCTAGATATGTCTAGCTGAAAACTTGTCAAGAATATACTTTCTGTTGTATGTGCCAATAGCATGATTTTGGGTGAAAGTAATTACATATTCTATTTATTGTCCCGTTTTATGATTATCTTAAACTTTTTTATTTGGCCTGGATAGATTATCGTCGTGCTATGCATATATGGGATGTATTATTCATATAGTATAGGGCATAATATTGTACCTTATATTTTAATCTAATCTAATATGTACAATATAGATAGTCATTATCATAAATTATAAAAAAAAATGTATCATTGTCCATGTATAATCGTAATACTTAAGTATGTACTTAGATATTGTATTAAGTATTAATCAGTATTGTAACTATCTATAAGATTGTGGGAAAAATAAATATTGCAATTGTCATTATTTATTCATTTTCATATAATACACTTTCTTAATTTCCTGGAAAAATGTAAACCAAACAATAAAAATACAACAAGGAAACGAAAATTTAATTTTGTATTGACACACATTTCCTACAAATTACATATTATGCTGTCATATTAAACACGCCATTTTATATTAAACATATATTTAGTGTACATAATTACATAACTATATAATAGTAATGTGCTTTGCATTTCATAGGTTGGCACTACTTAAAGTATAGGAAAATCGCAGCCAACCTTAGTATTATAAGGCATTGTGTAATTGGCACTCTTTTCGAACCATCGAAAATGACTGAAGATTTAGTTAAATTATATAGGACCTTAAATAACTGTAATAATGGGATATATCTTATGTAATTAGTTTTTATTTTTATAATTTCAACTTAAAAAAAAACTATAGAACATTTTCAGCCGCTTATGCTAGAGACTTCAGTTGATTGATAAGAAACTCAATTGATATGTTTCAAAATAATAAATATGTTTAAAATTTTGGGGAAACTTGCCCGAACACTTTCTATACAGCAGTGTTAGAATAAAATTTATCTCAATAACAAATTGGCCTCGATAAAGCAACTGATATCAACTATATCTGCCATATAGTTGATATTACTTGCCTTATCCAGACCAATTTTTTATTGAGATAAATTTTTTCAACCAGTTGGTTTTAACACACGTAATAGAAAACCTCGATTTTAATAAACACAAAACGACCTATTCTTATTTCATTCCTATGAACAATGCAAGACAGTTATAAGAATTTGAAAAAATAAGCAACATAGCAGTTATAATGAAATTTTAAAATAACTAATAATCCCTTTATATTTACTGTATCAATAGAGTTCACCGAGTAGAGAGGAACATAAGTGAACGCCAAAATTTTGATTAAAAATTAACAGTACTTTTAATCAATATTTTGGAGTTGACTTGTGTAAGGCGATACCTAAGGTTACGGAATGGGAACAGTACAAAATGAATGCTTCGAACTTAAATTTAATGCGCGCAGAGAAGTGCCCTCTTAAATAAAGGTTAGTACAATGTGGTAGTACCAAAGTAACCACGAAAACAAAACCAAGGACTTCATAAAAATTAAACAGTTGGTTTGTACTTAATATAGCATACTTTTGCATCAGGTTGACGTTACTTTACGGCTTCGACTCCAAATAAGGAAAATAGAGTTGAAATCATCTCTATATAGTTTACTTTTAGTTATTGACAACTAACTATAAACAGAATTGTTAAGACAAAATGTGTTTTACATATATAGGCGAGATTTATCAGCTATTATTTTAAAAATCATTCAATATTAGATCCACTGGTCCCTATTAGCTATTGTTTAAGTCAAAGATAAATCATAAATGTGTTGTTGTGAAAAATATTGAATTTAATTGTTCGTGTAAAATTAATACCTGTGATTAGTGCCGATTTAAAAGTATTCGCAATGAAAACAAAATGTTATTTATTAGAAAGTTAGTTTTTTGAGGTCAACACCACACTGCACTAAACATCAATTTTTCTGTAATGGCAACACACAAAACTGCTGCGCGTCCATGTCAAGAGTTTCATCTGTGTTACACGGGATCAATAGAAATTAAAATTCTCACACACAAATGTGTAAAATCGCGTTTAGATAACTGATCTTCTGTGACAACAGAGTTTGGCTAGAGATTAGAATTGAGATTATAGGGAATGCACTCCGCGGTCGTTCATGGCGATGCACACATTGCAGTGAAGTGAAATGACGGCACCGTCCTTTATTCCCAACAAAGTGAACTGTTGACTGATTATTTCGGATTGTAAAACTGTTCATTATGTAGTGAGACTGCAGCTATTTAGTGTGGTTTATAAATCGCGAACGACGTGTATAGGTGATCGTGTAATATTAGTGATGATACGAAGATGATGTGGTTTTGCACGGTGGTGGCGGCCGTAGCGTTCGCGGCGGTGAACGTACGTGCCGAGCAAGTGCTGCTTCTCGACACCACCACTGAAGCGACGTTGGCCTGGACAAGGTTCCCTTACGGCCCGCAGGCGAGCACCCTCGGCTGGCTGGAGGAGTCCTATACGGACTTCGAAAAACAAATCAACTGGCGGTCGTACGTAGTGTGTGACGTCGCGCACAACAACGTTAACAACTGGCTGTGGACACCATTTATAGAGAGAAGAAATGCAAATAGAATTTATATAGAAATTAAATTCACAATAAGAGATTGCTCACTGTTTCCTGGCAATGCACTCAGTTGTAAGGAGACATTTAGTCTGTTGTATTATGAGTTTGATGTTGCTACTCGTGAACAGCCTCCCTGGGAGCCTGAGAGCTATAAGCTGGTGGGCCGTATTGCTGCAGGTGAAGGAAGATTCAACACCAATTCTGAGGTACACATAAATACAGAAGTTAAAAGCATAGCTGTCACAAAGAAAGGAGTATACTTTGCATTCAGAGACCAGGGTGCTTGCATATCTATATTAGCAGTAAAGGTGTATTATATAACATGCCCTGAAGTAACTGTGAACTTTGCTAGATTCCCTGCTACTCCTACAGGCAGAGAAGTCACAGTAATAGAACAAGCCAATGGTACATGTGTGGAAAATGCTGAGACTCCATCAGGTGAGACCCCTCCAGTTTATTTATGTAAGGGTGATGGTAAATGGACCTTGCCCAGTGGTTCATGCAAATGTCGTGCTGGATATGAACCAGATCGAGATAATCAACAATGCAAGGAGTGTGCTCCAGGGAAGTTTAAGTCTCATACAGGAGATGATCTCTGTACTCTGTGCCCTGACTATTCTGAGTCCACAGCATATGCTGCATCTGAATGTAAATGTGTTCCTGGCTTCTATAGAGCTAAGAAAGATCCAAAAAATTTTCCATGTACTCAACCACCATCAGCACCAGACAATTTGACAGTAACCTTTGCAGATCAATTTTCCATATCACTTGCTTGGCAGCCCCCACACAAAAATGGAAGTCGCAATGATGTCACATATAGAGTTTATTGCTCTAATTGTGGTCCTAATATTGAATATAGACCAGCTTCATCAGGATTAAATTCCACCAGAGTTACTGTGATTGGTCTTGATCCAGTGACAGAGTACAAATTTCAAGTGTTTGCAGAGAATGGTGTGACAGAATTAACTGGCGAACAACCAAAGAAAGTGGAGATAACGGCTGTTACTGAAGCATCTGTTGTCAGTGTTGTATCTAAATTAAGGGTAACTAGTGCAGAAAGTGATAAATTATCTTTAATTTGGAATCCACCACCCATTGATTTATCTGATCCAGATGATGCTATAGAAAGTTATGAAGTGAAATGTTTTCCAAAGGATAATTTGGAGAAGGGTGCTAATACCACATTAAAAATCACGAAAGAGTCCCATATTACCATTACTGGTTTAAAAAGAGACACAGAATATGGAATTCGAGTCAGGGCCAAAATGAAACGTGGTTGGGGTGAATTCAGTGGTATAGTATATGCACGCACAGGGTCTGTGCTTGAAACAACTTTTGTAGGTGAAGAAGAAGGTGCACAAGTACGATTAGTTGCTGGTGTAATGGTTGCTGTGGTAGTCATTTGTGTTGTGGCTATTATTGTTACTGTCCTTTTCCTGCGGTCCCGAGCCGATGATGAATGTGACAAAAAACAACCAAATGATTGTAATGCTCTCAATTATCGGAACGGCGAAGTATATACAGGTCCAGAACGACCTGCTAAGACTAGCAGTAACGCCACAACACCACTTTTTGCTGGAACAGGGTCTAGAACATACATTGATCCTCATACATATGAAGATCCCAATCAGGCAGTTAGAGAGTTTGCTCGAGAGATTGATGCTTCTTGTATTACTATAGAGGCAATAATAGGTGGCGGTGAATTCGGCGATGTGTGCCGTGGTAAGTTGAAGGTGCCGGCTAGCTGCGGTCAAGAAATCGACGTCGCCATAAAAACACTTAAGCCTGGATCTACCGAAAGAGCCAGGCGTGACTTCTTAGCAGAAGCCTCTATAATGGGCCAGTTTGAACATCCAAATGTCATATTTTTACAGGGTGTCGTCACTAAGTGCAATCCTATAATGATTATCACTGAATTTATGGAAAATGGTTCTTTAGATACCTTTCTACGAGCAAATGACGGAAAGTTCCGTGTTCTACAATTGGTAGGGATGCTACGTGGTATAGCTACAGGGATGCAGTATTTATCTGAGATGAATTACATACATCGTGATCTTGCTGCACGAAATGTACTTGTAAATTCTCAATTAGTATGCAAAATAGCCGATTTCGGTTTGTCGCGCGAAATAGAATCTACCGCCGACGGGGCATACACTACACGCGGTGGTAAGATACCAGTACGGTGGACGGCACCGGAAGCAATAGCATTTAGAAAATTCACTTCTGCCAGTGACGTTTGGTCCATGGGTATTGTTTGCTGGGAAGTGATGAGCTTTGGCGAACGTCCATATTGGAACTGGAGTAATCAGGATGTAATTAAATCAATAGAGAAAGGTTACCGTTTACCAGCCCCTATGGACTGCCCGGAAGCTGTATACCAGTTAATGTTAGATTGTTGGCAAAAGGAACGCACGCATAGGCCAACCTTCTCAAGTATTGTGAAGACTTTGGATAAACTTATACGCTGTCCTGATACATTGCGAAAAATAGCACAAAATCGTTCAGCGGATCCTCTTGCCGGTGATACGCCAGATTTGGTCCAATTCTCATCTGTCGAGGAATGGTTGGAATGTATCAAAATGTCGCGGTATATAGAGAAATTCCGCGCAGCTGGTATCACAGACATGGATGCCGTGGTAGATCTCACTGTACACCAGCTAGCATCTCTTGGCGTAACCCTCGTCGGCCACCAGAAGAAGATCATGAACAGCGTGCAGAGCATGCGTGCTCACATTCGCGTCAGTGGCCCATATGGGTTCCTTGTTTAAACATTGAGTGGTGTGTGTAGAGCCAGTGGTATTCAGTGATACTATAATTCGAGCTATGCAAATGATATTGACGCACAGTTTGTGGTCACAAGTGATTTATACTAATGAGAATAATGCATTTTGTATATTTTTCTAAAAGTACTCTCATCGATTTAGTGTATAAGGTTAACAGAGACACATTTATTAAAAATGATTATCAACTAAAACATATGACACGACATTATTATATCACAATGCTGTTTATATTTTTTTCTAAGTTTTTTATTGTATTGTTGTACTTGTTTAGTGATAAGAATATTTTTTATTCGTTTTTGAGATTTTTGCAATATAGTGAAGCTGGCCTAAATCATATACGTATTCTAAAATTGAGCAAACAAAGCTTTATCGATGTACCGTCTTTAGCTAAATGTATACAACGAAGTATAGAGCCATAAACTATTTTAATACTCAAAAGAAACTTATTATCGGCTGGTGGCAAAATGAAAGTGATCCATTGAATTAATAATATTTTGTATGTTTGAATATTACCATTATGGCTAATCATAATAAAAAGCACTTAAATTATTTAAGTAGACTGGTAGATTACTTGTAATTAAAATTTATTTATAATTTCTAATGCTATCTTTATTGTTCAGATAATTTACAGTATCAGTTCAGTGATAAATGTATGTGTAGGATGTATAGAAGTTGATTTGACTGGTAATTTTAAATTGTATTTAAAGTGGCTGTAAGGATAGAAAGATGCTGGAATAATATTAAAATTACATTTTGTAAAAATTAAGAGTTATAAATTGTAGGTAGCTAATTCTGCTTTAATATTTCGGACAATGATTTGTATATTCATGGTATATTTGCAAAACAATATTATTTAAGGTTATGATAGTATATAACGGGAATAATATTTTTTTTGTTACTGATTGTAACTTGTACTGCTGATGTGATCTATTTTGAAGTGATGTACTTAATTATGTTTATATGACTCTTTTTTTGTTATACATATTCAATATTTTTGTTTTAATATCACTGCATGTATATAAGGCTGAATATATAACTTTGGTGTAAATTCTTGCTTTGATATATTATATTATATTCATATTTTCGAACAAATTTTTGTGTGCAATATTCTGGTTAATGTAATTCTGTTATATTGCCGATATTTTATTTAGAACCCGTATTATTGGAGAATAAACTATTTGATTCTGTAATCTCTATGTTCAAGCTAATATTTTTTTTAAAAAACTTTATAATGTTTATTTTTTACAACAATAGAATATAATTGAATTAAATTTATTAGACCCACTAATATCAATTAAATTAAATAAAGTTGATAACGTGGGTATGTGCCAAATTGTTATTATATCTCTATATATATAGCTATGTCTGAGAACGTATAAATCTGTATATATGGTAATAGAATTAAATTATTTCATAAAAAGTACATGTTCTCATAAATTCAAGCTTTATGAATTTATGTCTAAGATGTTTGATTTTATTGTATTAGAAAATTTGGAATTTATAATGGTTTAATAGAACAGTTGCAGTTTTTGCACATCTTTCTAAGCTGAACCAACCTACCTAATTTAGTGGGAGAATTATGTAAAAAATTACATGCCTGTATTAAATTATTTTCACATACCATATATAGAAGAAGAACAGAATAGAACTAGAACAGAATATTGCATACAGGAATGAGATCATAGGTGTAGTTATTTTATATTATTTTTACTTGCGAATTACTAATAACACTTATTCACATAATTCTGTATGTAAGTTCAGTCAACTTAAAAGAAATCTTACATACCACTATTGATTCCATGTATACAGTGTTATGTGAATAAGCTCTTAGCAATTGAACAAGAAATTGCCAACTTAGTTTGTAAGTGCTTCGGCTTATTATTCTCCTGATGGGTCGTTAACCGTTTGAAAACATAACATATGTATGATATAGAACTCTCTTATTACTTTCAAATAATAAGCTGAGCGATTGATTTTACTGTTATTGCTTCAAGCAATATATTTCAACTATTGTCAGACAGGTGACAATTGACTATCAGCAAAAAAAATTGCATCTTTTCTAAATTTTACTTTTACACCCAACATATGCTTCTTTACTTTTTTTTTGTAGTTGTATCATTGAAATCGTCTGTTGTCTTGCCGTATGCATATCAATTCCGACTATATTTACATAATTGTACTTCAACTGGTATACTTACATATATAACAAGGAGAAAAACTATTTCATTTCTCAATAAAATTGCCTTACAATACTTAAGAAAGAAAGAAAACGTTAATCATTTTCTTGTGTATAACACGAGATCCTGAGGGAGAGATATATAACTTGATATTTATTTGTGGCAGTCTATCAGACTGTGTGACCTGGGTTCTAGACAGGAGACAGATCGAGGTGTGTACATATAGCAAGTACTCCAGTCTCCTGCCGTGGTTGTCTAACCCATATTTTACTAAGTTACTACTATTTATGCAGTATGATTTTCATGACCGACTGATCAGGACTATTCTGAATAGTTTAATATATACCTCTCGATGTTGGCTCAAAATCTTTGCTAAAGGCGAAACGTCATTTTACGGATCGTAATATGTAATTATTCTGCCTTGTCAATTTGCAAAGCAAAAACCCGTTTAGAAATGGAATACTTTTGCTCCTTGTATTAATTGCACTGTACAGTTGTCAATGTTTATGTATGAAGTCTATTCCACTATTATATTTATACAATTATACATATATACTTGATATTGTTTATGTTTATGCATATTATATATTGGGCGACTACAATATAAATACACGAATAACTTAATTTGGTTTAGATTTCATCTGCAAAGAAGGAATATTAATTTATCATTGTCTCCATATCAGGTTCCATGTTCGAATTTCAAAAAGGCGATCGGCCATAAGCATCATTCGTCGATATATATATTAAGTCGCCTGTTTCACGTTAATTTGCTGACTATACGAATCTAGAATGTCACTTCACTAAGTGTCGTCGCGGTACAGTGGTGACTCACTCAATTGACACATGCTTCTGTACTCACGCGATCCACCGTCTGGTTTCTAAGAAATTACTTAATAATACCCATATTTATATGTCCCATTGTGACATTCTAGAAAAGGTGTTATTACTGTTGTCTCAGTGTTCTTTTTTTAATTGGCATCGCGATTTCACTTAAATAACAAGAGCAAAAACCCAGCTTCACACTGGTATGATTTCGTTTTAAAAACAAAATAATTTGTTTTAGGTGACTAATTGTAAAATATCAACAGTTCATAGATTTAATAACAATATAACATAAGAGTTGTTGATATTGGAAGTGTGAATCAGAATTTTGATGTTACCCTTTCACGTCTGACGCATCGTGGAATTAGCATATATGTAACTTATACGAATAAGAGTGGTTTCTGTTCAATTATATTCACGCGGACAATGTTGCAGACTTATAAAAGAATCCACAAAGAATTAAAAAAATATCATACATTTTGAACAAAAATTAATACCAAAAACAGATTTAAAAATACATACATACTATGAAACATTACTTTTTACCAGTCGAGTAATTAATTCTGACAGATATATCTGAGGTTATTCATAATTTTAAAATAATCCATATAACCTTATTAACCTGTACCTACAGTGTAATGCTGTACTTATCTTTGGTTCAGTCTGGAACCCATTAGCTGGGGTCGGCGTAATAGGAACACTCTTCTTCCCTTTTATCGGCCGCCATTTTTGTAAACACATTCTCTTGCAAGATAACATTTTTATGTACTCTTTAGATCTTTCTACGACTATCAATTATTTCTTGACCTTTTCTATATTTTTAAACTTTGCTTATTCTCTCATTGATATTAATGATCTCTGTGGTCAGCGGTTTAGTACTCCAACTCATTTCCGATAGTTGCTAGTTCGATACTCGTGCGACACAGACATACAAACATAGGTATCTATATATTGGTTCTGGTTTTTTTTTATCTATCTGTACTAGATATTTAACAAAAATTACATGTATCGATTCCAGAGACGCCTAAAAAGTCTTTTACTTTTAACTTGATGGCATTATCAAACTAAAGCGACAAAGTTACTAATATGTAGTCTTTAAATTGTAAAAATAATTTTTGTTTAAAATTTAAAGATTATATTTTAGCGTATGTTACATGTTATCTATTTTTGTCTGTCGGCTAACTACGTCTAATCCATGCAACTAATTTTATTATGAGTCACTGTCATTTAAGTATTTTTCTTAAAAATTTTTGAAACTAAGCAATAACAGAATGTGACGCTTGTGTTTTTTAAAGCGAACTTAAGCAAGAAGCCTTCTATATTGAAACCTGGTACTTAAAATGTCATTATTCATAATACCACCCAAATTACTATTGTTTTTGTGACACACCCGCTTTTTTATACAGCACCTTTTAAAGTATGGCATTACCTGATATTTTAAAGTACATTGCCTGCTTTTCGAACTAGTTGCAATCTAATTTGTAAGCTTAACGCTTAATAGGTAGGTGGTCTTTTGAAAAGTTTGAATTAGATTATACGATATTTCGTTCGTTTTCCTCAAAAACTGGTGTTGGGGGATCTCATGTATGTATGCATACAAATAAGGTCTATTGAACGAATTACTCCGACATTAGGACCAATGTATATTTATAATGCAGCAAATAAAAATACTATGATCTTTTTCAACCGTCTTTACACGCTGGACGTTATTAATTTTTCCGCATTTCAATTTTAAAGCTGTAAGTATAAGTGTATTCCTTTAATTTTTAATACCGATAATTACACTGAGACAACATGTAATTTAACATTATTATTCCGTTTTAATTTCCATTATTTCTAACTTAGTAATGTATATTGTGCCTATTGTTCTATTAATCATTTTTAAATAGATCTCAGAAATAAAATAAAACGCGCAGGATTTCATTAGTGAAAATTCAAAGTTCTCTTGATATAATAATATATATATAGAAATTTATAATATTGATTCATAAATTATACATTAATTGCGAAATAAAATCAGTGCTTTTTGTAAAGATCAACCGGATTATTCCATTGATCTTTTTATTACCAGCATATACAAATAACAAAATATATAATATAATAGATATATGTACTAGCTATAGTCATTATACATTACATATTTTATATGTT